GCTGACTAGTACATTACAATGGTATCTTATTTAGTGGTAATTATTTATCACCTATTTTTGCCGATAGCATCTGCCATCACTACGAAGTAATAAGTTTTAGTTTACATCCTACATTTATATTTGGATCACAATCATCTTTAATACGTAAATATCCACATTGGTACGAAATATCAAACACACTATAATCTTACACCTGTATATGTTACCATACTATAAATTGTCGGTCGTATCCGTAAATTTTTTTTACAATGTTAAAGGTTTCTATAGAAATGCCACATTGAATTCGCCGTAATAGTTCGATTTTAGCAAAAATTGATTACCAAAAATGCATTTTACTAACTAAATGCAACTAAACATAAATATCAAAAAATTAGATAAATTCCAAAATACATTTACCATAGGTAATTCAGTATCTTTTACTAAAATAATATGCAAGGCGACTGAAATTACAAGTCAATATGACAAAAAATCTATTTATCATATTTTCCAAAAAAAAAAAACATGACGTATTATAATATACAATCTTCTATGAACTCCCTTATCTCTCGGATTGTAAACGTCACAGACAGTTATTTTACTTCGCTGTGTCCACATGTTATGAAGAATATTGTAATAATTATACCGGAGAACATAAATATTAATTTAAATGTCCATAAAAGCACATTTCCTACATACACATGTGTGTGTGTGTGTGTGTGTGTGTGTGTGTGTATGTGTGCAACACTATGATTATTTACTCGAATTTGAGGGACCGTCTTTGAAAATATTATAATTAATTATTTATTATGTACTCCCGTAGGCGTATCATCCACAGCACGATTAACCGCCGTTGTCGTCGTATTCGCCTGCTACACCCTCATATATTTTACGATATGCACGTGTATAAAGGTTGCGTAACAGGTCATGATTGAGAGTTATTGTCGATGGGTTTCACATATTATACATGAACGAAAACGCAGTTGATGATGTTTTAATCATTATCCCTTGTGAACACTGCATTGCTGTTACAATAAAAGTTACTACTTATTCTTACAGTTGTATCTCATACGGTCAGTGTCGTACCTAGGTCTTTCTTACGGGAGAGGAGGGGCAATAATATATTTTTACCCACTCTTAAATTAGAAAATTACTTTAAAAAATAACGTCACATCCATAACAATTTAATTAATAGATAAAAGGAATTATGCTTTTTTATATTTGTAAAATGTAACATTTTAATACATACTCGTAAATTAAGAAATTTTTATTTATTCAAGTATAATATAATAATGTTTATTATATAAATTATTTTTATCGTTTTCAATAATTATATATTATATATATTTTATTATATATTATATATATTATATTATATATTATTATATTATTATTATTATTTATTATATTATAATTATTATATCATCGATTGATATACTTATTTTTTTTGTAAATATGAAACAGTGCAAGTCCGCATAAGCGATCCTGGGCCATTTTTGAGTGTAGTCATATTTTTAGTCAACAGCACAAGCATAAAGCAAATAGTCAATATAAATAATTAAAAAGCAGTATGTACATGGTAGATAATACCTAAAATGCCTAGAATAATAAAATCGTCAAAACGAAATAATTACACCAGAGATTTTGAACGGGTCGACCATTAGATACCAAAATTATTTTAATATCTATGGATACGACCAGGTTATCAAATTATAATGTTATCAATTACTTCATGAAAAGAAAATTTTCAAAACACTAAAACAATGCACACATATTTTACGGTCCATGGAGTGGGGGGGGGGAATGTCCAATCACCCCTTCCAAAGGTACGCCGTTGTATTCGGTCCGCGGATGGACTTGCAATTGTTGTCGCCGTAGTGCATCGATATGTACATATTTATCACGTACTACTTATTATAAAAAAAAAAAAACGTTACGATGAACCCCTTCATGCAATTATTGAATAGCGTTATTATTATTCGGTAGGTGCCATCTGCACAATTTTCAAACTTATAAAGCAATTGTTTAAATCGATCTACGCAGTCGTCCTTATGTTTGATATGAAAATAAAAAATAATCTCGTGTAAGATATTGTTATGAAGAATGTTACGATGTCGGAAATGTAAAAATCACAACGGACCTCGGTGGTGGACTTCATGAAGTTCGATTGCATACGTATCATACGTACCATCCGATACGTTTTCCGTGATTATAAAAAATATTAAATCGCAAAGGTTTCACGAAACGTGTACTCGTATAGTACGAGTATATGTATAATAATAATACATAAAGTCCATGCGTCGTCATCATCATCGTCGTCGTTGTTTGGTCGAAAACAGATTTTCTGTACGCGTAAGTATATAATAATGATGTAAAAAGTCGCTTGTTATAAACTGTCTAGCACCGCCACCATCCTTTGCACACGCACGCGCGCGCTAACCTACCCCATATAATATTCGTATACAAATTACAAAATATATACGTATAGCTCCAACGCGGCCGGTGCGGGGCTGTTGTTTTACAGTCGAGTGTCGCGTCGTCATCATCTTCATCATCTTCGTGTGACAAGAGAGCAGTCTGTCACTAATAATAATAATAATAATAACGAAAAGCCGATCATGTTGATCCCAACATTGGAGTAATTGAGTGCCGACGGACCGGGTCTATTATTACGGTCACGGATGCGTTTTTCTCCTCCGCGCCACCATCGCCACCTATATCTATTGTTTTCCACCCCCTACCCTCATTCGACGTTCCACAATCCCTATTCACTCGCCTTCACCGACTCGTTCCTGTTATACCTAACCACTCATTGATACTTCATTCTGTGTGTACTTTACACAAAGCTTTTTTTCTTTTTTTCTTTTTTTTTTTTGTTACCTTATATTTTATTGTATATAGTGGCCATCGAGTCGTTTTGTTATACGCACTACACGCGTATCTACGTGTAAAAAATATATACATACATCACGTCGTATACATCACGAGTGTGCATATATATACTGCGAACGTGCTACAACGGATCCCGCAGATTAGGCACGAACCGCCAAAACGAACAGATCCGCCGCGACAAATAATAATAATAAATCCATTGTTTTTTTTTCTGTGAGGGGAAGGACGGCGATGCCTTTTTTTTTCATTCATTTTTATCACACTTGTCACACAAATGTCGCCCGTTTTAATGTACATAACATCGGATAAGAGAGAACGCGACGCGTACAAAATCGTAAAAGAGAAATATTATTCGTGCGTTACGTTTTGGACGAGAACACTGTACATAATATCGTACAGTATAGCATCGTCGTGAACTTTCCGGCTCTTTAGAGCTTTTAATGTAGATCAGCACTCGACACTTTTCTCCACGAGTACGAACAACCTACTAACGCGTCTGCAAGTCCGGGTCACAACCTAATATCTTGGCTAGGTAAATTTTATAATGGTTCTAATGAACATCGATGATGACAATTATAGAGAACGAAACTATTTAGTTTTTTTTTAAAAAGTAAGATTTCAAGTTTCGGTCAGAGAAGTGTCACAGAAGGTACATAACAAACTGACCCTCAACGAAATAAGAAAACGAATACTTTTTTTTAACCACATTAAATTAACCTATGGGACAACTTAAGTGGTATTATTGTTAAAAAAAAAATCACGTGAGAAACAGTAAATTGCACGTTTAGGTACCGAAATGCTTGCTATGCTGTAAACATATCTGTTAATTTATGAATTGACAAAATTAATTATGCACGTTGTTATGTATGTAGGGGTAAACACACAATTCACGAACATACTTCATACGCGGAAAATTTAACTGTGATTCTTTTTTCATTCATTTCCAAGAGTAAAAAAATAAAAATATCGATGATATTAAATAAAACAAAAAACAAGAGATGATTTACGGAAAACTAGTATTGCGGTAATATCAGCGATGATAATAGTTACTAGTTACTACTGATACGTTTTATAAAATACAATTGTTCGGTAATTGCTCAAATCTACAATCAGTCTTAATAAGAGTGAACCCGTTTGTTTCATAATATTATTATTATGCTAATACAAGTCAATACGCTCGGCTGACACCGAGCACGTTATTATATTTTTAAATCGACTTTTATCTAAAGACCCGTCCAGGTTAATGTTGACCGCTAGATTTTAATTTTCTAAAAATTGGCCCTCTAGTAACTTTGAGTTGCCCATCACTAATATATGCAATTACAACTAAAACGTTATCGCATGAAGTCAAATACTAAATATCATATACTTTAGGGTAAAATTAAAATAAGTTATATTATAAATTAATATAGATACGTTATTAACTCTAACAGTTAGGTCTTTAGATTAGCCTCAATTGGTAAGTATGATTTGACACTTTTTTGACTATTTGTTTGGTTTACTTATGACCGATTTCTTATTGTTCTCTAATTTTTCTTAAGTACGATTCTCAAACACATATTGTCGTGTGTAATTTGACAAATTGTTTGCATTAATGTTTTCGTTTGGTTTACTATACGTTTGGAATATTTCCAAATAAGTAAAAACTTTCTCCAATGACGCCGATGTCTGTTTCATAAGATATTTGTGTAAAAATAATATCTGAATATAACTACAATAAAGGGCAAGTAAATAGAGTTATAACAGTCTTTTACACAAATTCCAAATGTCTATAACTTGTTCATCCAGTACCGGTATACCGCTGTTCACCACGAAATCATCCACCTCAATTAGACACTGCATCCGCAATACGTAGGGATCGGTACTGCTTAATTTCTCCGAAATGGGATTATCGTAACTCGTACATTTTTTTCACACGTTCGTCAATTTTCAAATTAAAATTTTTTATTTTTAATCGATAACATATAGGAATATTAAAAACAGTAAAAAAATATACTAGCCAAACGTAGTTTAGAATATAATTATTACTATTATTATTGTCATGAGTTACCGGTACACAATAGACAATTATAACAACAGTGCAACTATCAGTTCGACTGCTGAATTTGAACGTTTCGCTTTGCAGCCGTAACATGTTTACATTAGTTAAACTTTCGTACATCGTGTGCGACGAGGATGAGAAATTATTTTACGACGATCTGAAAACGATGCCAATCGAGCAACATACTGAGCACATACCACTGAGCTACATCCAGAACCCAACCGATGAGACGGTCAACGAGTCAATGAATAATAATAATGCTGAATATAATTCGAATAAAATAAGTCGAATAAATAAAATAAAAAAATACGTACCGAACATATGAATGAAAAAGTAAAACAATCAATAATTGAAATTCGAAAACAATATACCGTTACACGGTCACTTGAGATGCATACAGTTCGCTGAGATGTGCCATTTCCAGTGGACCGTCGACGTGTGCGAGCAAGTGGCGCACAACGGGTACCTGGAGTGCTTGGTGTACGCACACCGTCAGGGATGCCCGTGGTCGGAGCAAACGTGCGAGAACGCCGCCACGAACGATCAGCTGGAGTGTCTGGCGTACGCGCACCGGAACGGTTGCCCGCTGGACGAAACCGTGAGCGAGCTGGCCGCGACCATCGGCCACCTGGAGGCGCTGAGGTACGCGCACGAGAACGGCGTCCCGTGGAACGCGGTCACTTGTCGCGACACCGCTTACCGCGGTCTACTGGACTCTTTACGGTACCGTGGGACGCGGCCACGAGCGAGGCGGCAGCCACGCGGAGTGTCTGCAATACGCGCACCACAACGGGTGTCCGTGGGACGAGAGAACGTGCAGCGCCGCCGCGACCAACGGCCAAGCCGCGTGCCTGAAGTACGCGGTGGACAACGGTTGTGCGTGGGACGCGGATATATGCCGCGACACCGCTGCCCTCGGGCGCCTGGAGTGTTTGCGATACGCGCACGAGCACGGGTGCCCGTGGGACGCGTACATGTGCAATAGCACCGCGGACAACGGGCACGTGGAATGCCTCGTGTACGCACAGGACAACGGTTACGCGTGGGCCACGGCCCCGTGCCCGACGGCCGCCCAGAAGGAGCGCATCGAGCGCGCTCGAAGCGCGTCCGCGACGAAGTCTTTTCGTGATGACGCGCCTGTTGCAAGGGTTGTTTCATTCAAAAATTCGAGATCGATTGCTCCTGTGTGCCGGGGACGTTCCCGACGTAACGTTTAAATCGAATTTCGATCAGCTATTATGTTTTATTCGTGTTGCACCACTCAATTTTTACTGATGACAACACATTTATGTATATATTTATTTATTTATTTGTTAACGAGCTAGTAAAATACAGAGACGAAAGAAAAAACCTTAACGCGCATTACTTTTTACGTTTTCCTACCAACACGTATCCTACCTACTGTTCGATTTTATAGTATGAAACGCAGATATTTTATAGAGCAGGTATGGGCAACTGGCGCCCCGCGAGCCTTTTTATCCGGCCCGTTCTATATTTTAAAATTGCATCATACAATTTTAAAGTTTATTGTTAATACTCTAATTTATCGATGTAATAATTGTTATCTGGTATTAAACATCGTTAAATGTCTAAATTTCGTAAGTATAAGTATAGCTTTCAACCATAGCTGTTTGTACTAAACTATTTAACAATATCAGTTTCTTCGTATCATTCGTATCGTGCTGTCGTGTGTGTTAAATTTATTATTTCCGTGTACATAAAATTAAAATTCATATTGATAATATGATAATAACATGAATGAAAATATATTATTTAAAAAAAAAAAAAAAAATTGTAAGTTTACGGTATAAAATTTAAATAAAATAGAAAATATTTTTTGTTTAATATTTATAGTTTAATGTTGTACCGTCCGTCGGACTAGTTTATACAGTGGTTTGGATAAACGCAGATATATGGAAATAGTTAAACATTTTAAAGTTATGATCAATATATGTTTATTTCAGTGCACTGGTCTTCGGTCCCGTGTACCGTCGGCCCATCGACCCCTTCGTGAGTAAAACGTTTAACGTTTAACGCACCGCGTGACGGAACGATTCTCGTCGTTTTAAACGATCGAAAGAAAGAGGAAAAAAAAATGAACCCACCGCGGTGACATTTGGTTAATCAGTTATGTGGTACACGATAAATTTACGTGTACACGATATTATTTTACCGTATTCCAGGGTGTCCGTTCTCCCCACGTAAAGATCCCGCACACACCGCAGTCCATCGTATCGTCGGGACGGCGAACATCACACGCGGATCGATGACATTAACTCGATCTGTTGTCGGCGGGCAGGGGAACAATAAAAATAATAAAAAAGAAAGAAGAAAAGGTGCCGAAAATCGAATTTCACCGACGACGTCCAAAACGACTCGTTCGCCGCACACACGCACTAGCTGACATTTACTCATTACATTATGTTGTACGCGTACCACACTCATGCGAGTGTATGCGGAATGCGTGTGACCGTAGTATACGGGTAATAAAACGTGGCGGCGTCCAAACCCTTCGGCGGGACGGCCTGTGAGCAGGGACCACCGGCCGGGGTGAAAAATCTCCGAAAAATCTCAATCGGCTTGCACGCACATAGGTGCCGCGCCCAGGTCGCGCGGAACCGATTGACTTTAAATGGCAGCCATTGTTCGCGCGTCACGAAAACTCGCCATCGCACTCCCGTCTCCGACACGCTATTTATTTTTATTATTATTTTCATTATTTTCATTATTATTATATCATCGAGATTTCCGAGAACGTCGTATCCTGCTCAGCTCCACCCAGTTCATCCTTCTCCTGTGCACTACGCGCGTAAATAAAATAATAATATTTTCCCCTCTGCCACCGGTCGCGCGCGTACGCGTCGACGACGTCTCACTGCGCGCACGCACAATTTACACCACGAGAAATATACCTACCTGTCAACATGGTCTTGGACCGTTTACGTATCGCACCCGGTCATTTCGAATGAAGCGGTGTCGAGTTTATGGGCGCGTACGGTATGCGACAGGTGGTGAACACCGTTCGCTACGCGTTCAATGGATGGTACCGGCTCACTGGTGTTGAGCGTACCTTTCGCGAGTGCGTTTTCCACTTTAGGGAAAAAACTTGATTTCAAATGTTTTTCGTTGCGATAAGTGCCCCTATTGTTCCCCGTGCCCGTTTCGGCGATTATATACGTTTACGTCGCGTGTGATTACGTGCCACGGGTATGACGACACATCGTTGACCCCCCCTCCATACACCGCGAACGAGATTTCTTCAGGTTTTCACACCGGTACGGACTTTATTCGTAGGTTAGACATATCTTAAGAGTTTTGATTAAATTTAATTTTACCGTCGGTGTATGAACGAGTGATAACTTCAAAAATGGTAGTAATGAAGAGCGCATACGCGTGAACTGGGAGGGGGCAAGGGGGGCAATTTCCCTCTAGAATAAATTAGAAGAGACAGTGATATTTAACATACCTTGTTTTAAAATGAGTACAAAACAGCTGGTTATAGCTATTACTATAACATTTTTTTTTTTAAATCTTAATTTTAAATTTTCGCTAATCTAACATAATGTTAGAAAATTAATAATTTTATATAATAATATGCAAGTAGTAAAGCGGCGTTTAGCCTAGGACAACCTTTTTGTTAGATATATAATTATATTTTTGACCCCCCCCCCCAATAAATTTCCAAGTTACGCCTATGGAAGAGCGTACCGATAAATTCGATATGGATAATTCATGTTAGTGAATAAATTATTGTTTTTATCAAACTATATGTGATACAATGTGAAAATACAACGAGAAACTTGAAAAACATATTACACATTTAATTTTATACGTACTCAACAAACATTTACGAACGCGCTGCAATGCATTAATATATTGTCTTGCATTTTCAGCACATCAATGACGTTATTCTCGTGTGGATTTGAAGTAAAATCCTCGAGTAATCGCGTTTAACATTTATAGAATTCGTAACTTTTTCAATCCATACAAGAGGTATGCTCAACAAAAAAAATTGAATATTATTGGAGATATAATTATAAAATAAATTAAACATGATTTACAGTATTTTAATCAGGGCCGAATTTAGGACGGAGGGGCACTGGCTACAACTGCCCCGGGTGCCAGTTTTTTGGGAGCACCAAAATTTTGTGGTCGGAAATCTGCTCACTTGTGAATTATTGAACTTTTAAAATTATTATTTTTTTTTTTGTTTTTAATAACAGTATCATAAATTAATGTTAATGTATTTAATTTATTAATATATATTATTAGTGTATTTATAGCAATATAGCTATCAGCGATCCACAATATTGTTAATATACCAAATATTACTTCTCAAATTTATTGTGATAATGTCAATGAACATTAGTTATTTATAATCAGGGCTCGGAAGTTCTAGCAAATGCATATTTTTCTTGGTTCATCCTAGAACATCCAAAGTAAGATACAAATATTTTTCACGCTACTTGAATAACATAACAAAATTTAATTTTCCTATTTTTTGCATATTTACGGGTTTTATTGCTATTTTGCTAATTTAGGGTTTATATTGATATTTTTGGGTATATTTTCATATAATACAGGAAATAATCATATTTTGTTGATAATAATTGTATTTACTTGGTTATATTAAAATGTTTAAATTATTGGAAATAAATAGACCTCATCAAGTATTATTGACTGAAGTATGTATTTATCGACAATTTATTATATTAATAGTTACTGCGTCATTGTTATTCCCTTATTATATCATTGCATTAGATTATCAAACATTTAATAATCCGGGATAATTTCCAATGTAAATATATTAAATAATTTATTAATAAGTACACTTTTACAAATACATTTAATTAATTTAACAATTTTGTTAACAGTTTTATTCAACTAGTCCAAACTGTGTCTACGAATTAAAAAATTTGTTAAATTACATTTTTTTCTAATAAATTTATAATTTTTTCAAGTTAAATGCATATTTTTTTATTTTTCGTGCTATTTATAGCGCAAATTTTAGAGCTTTTAAGTGCATATTTTAGAGCTAAAAAGTAATATTTTTAGTGCTACAATTTCCGAGCCCTGTTTATAATAATACCACATAATATATCATAATATATTAAATCTATTGCGATAATATGGCGTATTATGTTATCGATTGCGGTGGCATGCCAACTACATAAAAATAACATTGATTTTAGAATATCTAAAAGGTTCATCTATCTCCTATATTTTCCGTGGGTAGGCCCCTTAGAGGGGAGCAATTTTTTTTTTGCGCCGGCATGCAAAATATCTAAATAAGGCACTGATTTTAATATACAATCGAAGAAGTTCATAATTCAAACCCGTCATTGACGGTACATATTAAAAGTCAGACATTTTATATAAAACCGCGATTTGGCGATGGAAATTTTTATGGAACAATGCGCATGTATATCAAGTATTGCTTCAAAGTCAGTAAAAGTGCTACGGAGACATTTGACCAGATAAAGTTAATTGTAATACGACAGAAAAACTCAAGGCTATTAATTCGGAAGAAATACAAAGATGTTTTCAAAAGTAACGAGGTGGTCGGAAGCGCTGTACAAAAGCTAAAGAGGACACTGTTCCCGAAGGTGATTCGTTTAAACAGTCTGTAACTTATAAATGAAACGTACAAAAAAATTTCGTTTGGTTATTTATTGAACACATCTAGTACGAACGCCGTTGTCTCCTACGGTATATGGTAGTAATAGACTTGGAATCAGTATGACGTGAAAAAGTGTGTGAGACACGCGAACGTTCATTTCAGCTGCATGCCCCGACAAGAGTTTTCCGCTAGAGCTGGTGCGAATAAAACGTCGGTCGAATAACAAAGGGGAAATTAACAGCGAAAAGAAAAAGGGAAAAAATGGTACACCTAACGACACGTATAGAGAAATTTCGAAAAAAAAAATACCACATTCGCCGCGTACAATATATAGTACGCGTCGGGCATGATACACCACGTCGGGGGTAGGTACGGCTCGGCAAACGAACGCGCGCGCGGTACCCGGTTACGCGTCAAACAACGCGTTCCCGGAGTCGTCATAAGTTCATCGGGGCATGTGACACATGTCAACGGCGGTGAATGGGACGGGACGCGATGATACGTTCTGGAGTTAATTTCACGACGTCTCCGAGGGCGGTTGTCTGTCGCCTTTTCCGCGGGCGGCGGCCAGCACCATTATTGTCGTGAAGAGACGTTTGTGCCGGGGAAAAAAACAACACTAACAACAACGATAATAATAATAATAATAATAATCTAAAAATATTCCACTTGTTAACCGGGCTGTGCGCGTCTTTTGTCGCACGCGAACAACACGATAGAACAATTTAAAGGGGAAAAAGTGAATTTTTTTTTTTTTGCTTACAAACATTTTTCCTTCCCTTTGTCTCCCACTCTGTCCCACTCGCTCTATCTCCCCGTCTTACTTACTTTAGGCTCGTAGCGTATTTCCTCTCGTGCGTCCGTCGCGGAACGACTGCTACTACGCAGCACCTCTTTGCCTGCCATCGACATCTACTCGTATACACCGTACAGTTGGACCAATCATTATTTTGAGTAGCATCTTCACTGGAGTACTGGACACTGTTGTTTTGTACTTCGGCGCGTACGCGTCCTAGTGTAGCGTGTAACTTTATACATGTATGTGTGTGTGCGCGAACAGTCTTGACACGGTCGTTAGCGAAAACGAGTCTTTTCCTCGTCCGTTCCAGTCCAACGAGTTTTATTAGTTATTATTATTATTATTATTATTATTATTATTGTTGCAGATGACGTCTGTACGTACGTGTGTGCGTGTGTGTTTGCGGCCTCGATGCAGATCGGTCTGGCGAATATAATTGGGTGCGAAATGTGCGACGTCTAGTCCTTTGCGAAGCTATTACGCAGGACTTGTACACACACACACACACACACACACACACACACACACACAAAGTGTGCGAACACTCTGTTATACTTATTCAATACGTATAGAAGAGGCACGTGCTTTTGTTGTTTCAGGCACGTTCCGAACGGGGCTACTGCTGCGTACGCTCGGATGACATGATAATATAGCTTCGCCCGAGAGATTTATTAATTTGATTCGCCGCAATACGTATAACCCGTGGTTGAGTTATCTCTCCGCGGTCAGACGTGATCTATCGCCGTCGCGTCGATCGGAAACAGCGGTTCGTGACGTTTGCTCGGAACGATTTTTCGATAGTATTATTTGTCCGCGGCGCGCGCGTTACAACGACGACCGAGAATCGATCAAAACAACCGTGATACGATAGGCATCGCATTTCCTGGACTTGTGTCGTGCAAAACGCGCGAGTCGAAATGACTATGGTTTGACAGCGGGTATCAATGTTCATAAGATAATGCGGTCTTATTCGGTTTCCGTCGCGCGCACATAATCATCGTATTATACCGCAGCGTTCCGACGGTTTTCGAAATATTTTCCCCGTCGACGAGTACCAACGTGGAACGTTTTTTCGAATCGGAAACATAATCTCGCAGCACAGTCCTACGTGTGTTTCGACTTGATCAACGTGTACGATTAGTTCAAGTGGTGAGCGCAACGGTCGACAATATGTTATCGTCCGTCGGGCTATGTTGTAGTAGTGTTTCCCAAAGTGTGTACGCCGCGAAAACTTGAACTTTTTCGTTTTAAAAGGTTAGCAAATAAACAATGTTTGTCCAGAGCACGCCGCGCGAATCACAACAGCTAATTGTACCGCGAGTATAAAGAAAAAGTTTGAGATTCCTTACCTACGTGTTGAAAATACGTCTTTTATAATGTAAAACGGACGTGGAAAAATTAAAACCTTACGTAAATAAATATTTAACAATTACTGTTATCGGAATAGATCGTTATTATAATTTTCGTCTAACAGTTCGCATAAAAACATTGTAATTATTGTTTGCGTATTGTTATTTATTTCGACGACACGGCCTCCTCCTAATGACATTGTTTGTTATAATATAATTTTGAGTATTTCTCCGATACGAAATCGAAATAATAATTATTATTCGCAACCATTTGTTCACTCGGAATGAATGAACTAATAGTTCATTACGAACATCTTGACGAGTCTTGAGTATGCACTTCAGATGGAATATGCATCATGTATTAACCAACGTTATTGTGGACGACAGAGAAAACTCTGTTCTATTATTTTGTCGTTAAAATATTGTTCAACATAATTTATGAATGTATTTTAAAACGGTCAATATCTTATTACATATTTAGAACTAATCGATTCAGACTTAAAGTTAGATTTTTTGTGCCTATTTAAGAGAAATACAAAAAACGTTTTTATAATAGTAATTTTATTGATTTAACGTTCATAGTATGGCAAAATATGATAGTTTTTAAATAAATAAATAAAAATTGTTTTTTTTTGCATTTTATCCAAACTACTAAACAGTTAATAGTTAATGCCTTAATTTTCTTGCGGGAATTAGTTCTAGAATTGATTGTTTTTATTACGCAACAAATGTCACCAATGGGTTACCGATTTTTGTTGTTACCGTCCAACAATAGATAAGAGTAGCATATTACATTTATTTTCAAAAACGATTGTTTTCACTTCCTTTTTAATTACAAATGCATTGTTGCGCTGTTGGTGAGAAAATCCCTCGTGTCCGTCGAACGACGTGCGCACGTGTTTTTGCTTATTCAGGGCACATCTTGTTCTATATTTATTCTTTAGTCAAATCTTGTTAGATAAATAATATATCGCGTTACATTGTTACGCGTTGTAATTGAAAATTCGTCAACCCTTCCAATGCTATTGTCACGTGCGTTGTTGTTTGTCAACCGCAGTACGGGTGATGCGGTCTCGTACATTATTACGAGGTCGGTTAACGGCGACGGACCGTAACCAATTTACAGTATTAAATTAAAATAAACGAAATTCCACGGAATTCAAAGGCAAACGTCAACTTTTGACCACCCAAGCCGACAAAGGGACAGGCCCCGGTGGCTACCGGTCGCCGGTCGCCGGTATCCACGTTATACCTGTACACGGTCGTATTATGCGTTCGGGGGTGTTCGTCGCGGTCGCTCCTGTGGCACAAGTACAGTGTCCGGCCGTTGACTGCGCGTCTTTGTGCATCGATTCGATCGCCTACTCGTCCGACACGTTTCATAAGTTATTATGTAACGCGTAGAACGGCCTTTCGTACGACAACAGAAGTAGACACGTGGGGCATGCCGTACGTCAATGTTATACTACGGAATGATGATAACAACATGTAATTCTGTAATACACGTGTACGGCCTGTATTATACAAATGCATGTAATGCATTGTATTATACAAATGATGCATGTAGATTCCGCCCAAAATGAACTACTGGTAAAACATGTGAATTCCGCTTAAAATGTACTGCAGGTCAATTCCGCCCGAAAAAACTGATAATTAATAAACACATATATTATTTATTTTTTTTTTTTTTTTTTGTCAAAACATCAAAATAATGAGCTACGTTTTTCACATAATCATCTACAGATATTTCATTATTTTTATATTTTCTAATTGTATTTTGCGTGTATAAATATTTTTCTTTTTTTGATGTTGAATTCTTACATTTATGTAATTCCTTTATAATATTTATTTTCATGTAATTTTCTAATCGAATTTGTTAAAGTTTGTCTAAAAATATAAAAATACGATTAGAACTAAAACTTTATTAAAATGGGGATAAAACGACTCGCAAGCATTAGTCGTTCTGTTCAAATCTGCTGTAGCAGCAGCCCATCATATATTTGGAAGAAAAAAAATAATGTACGTTTCGTGAGATGCGATTGAAAAACGGCGGCGTGCGACAAAATGAAAGTAATTATTATTATTATCATCATTACATCGTCGTGAGTTCCGGTGCATCCGGTCCGTGTTCGTGCGTCGTGTAGGGGTCGATCTCGCCATTCGGGTCCGTTACGGGTAAACACTGCCCCGGGGCCCAGTGAGTACGTGCGTATTCCATAGAATGATCGTACAATACGAAGTCGCGCGAGATGGAAAAAAAAGAGCCCACACAGCTGTGCAAAACACACACGCCTCGATCGACTCGTATGCACGCCGTAACGATTCAGATCAATCATACATGCGGAAATCTCTTTATTTCGCGTCGATCGCGTTTAGCTGTAAACGCGTGGTGTACGGTGTGCCACCGGTGGGGGTCGACGGCGTCTCCACGGGAACTTGATTTTTTACGCTGAAATCGTGGAAAAATCGCCATCGCCAGTTTTTTTATTTTTATTTTTTCTCTCGTTTTTATTCTGAACCGAACGGAAAATAAATCAACAATAGCCGCCAGTTTTGCCCCGGGCGATAATTCGCCGCGCGCGATCGGTTCGTACAATGTTATATCAACGAATTACCGGCGATTCTTTTTATCCGCAGCTGGTTTTCCGTCGTGTCCTCGCGCTAACGATCCGTTTATTCGAAACCGCATGACTCCAAGTCGTTTTAGCAGCGTCAGGTTTCGAGAACAAAAAATTAACTCGAAACGATCCGTGTGAGAATGTTTCCGTCGCGCGACGCACTCGTCCGTGTTAAACGGTTGTATATTATTACACGTTTATAACGCGTGAGTAACACTTTAAGGGCTGTTAGACATAATACTTCATATACTTCAAAGTATAGTTATTTTTATTTTAACTTTCGAGGAGCATAGCATTAAATCATCGGAGGGGTGGATTGGGTTTTTTTTATCCGTGTCTTACGTTTGAAAAAGTTAAGGAACAGAACCTCGTATGATCTCGAATCACTCATTGTTACAGTGTTATTCGAGTGTAAATTACAAATAGCCCGAATTAATTGGGAGAACTCGAGTTACGTCCCGTAGAAAAGGTATACACAAATTACGTCCCAAAAAAATTATGTATTTTAATTAAGAGTTTTTAAACAACTAACAAAAATAAATAAATAAATAAATAATAATAATAATGTTAATTCAAACGTTCCATCTACATATACTGTTTTAATTTTAATTAAAATTCTAAATTTGATTTACATGTAAACATTATTATACCATTAATAGAATCATTTAAAAACAAAAAAGGTTCTTTTCGTTTGTAATACAGTCAATAGCATTTAATGCTGAATGGACATTTAAAATATTCGTTGGCAATTTTGGTAGTTGTTCACTTTGAGCTCGATATAAATAATTTTTTATGTAGCGAATACCTATAATTGCTAATGTACTTTTAACACTGATATCAATACTTTCTTTTAAATGTCGATGCATTTGTTTAGCTGGTCTTTCAAATAACTCTTGTGTACTTTTTCGCTTAAGAAAATTACTTACAATTTGTCGATTTATAACTGCTTCAGATAGTGCATCGTGGTTGTGGTCAGTATCACACACGTTAAGTAAAATATAATTTTTGTTAATTTTTAAAGATGATATACATATTTTAACGGTACATTTCCAACGTTGAATATTATTAGCCAAACATTTATGAAAACAGAACTTATATTTGTCAATTATTTTCAAATGTTTTTGTTTTTCACTAATAATATTTTGCACTTCCATCAAAAAACTAAACAGTTATCACATATCACGTAGGTATACGAAACACCATGGAGAACCTCTAAAACGAAATAAAACTCTACTACCTAACAAATATAAAGTGGGACGCAATTTGTGTATACCTTTTTTACGGGATGCAACAAAGGTGCCCCGAATTAATTTTGAATGATAATAACATGTATAAAGTACATGTATACAATGTATAAATCAATTTTTAAAATTATCTCTTAATGTCAATAACCTAGTTTATACACGTTTAGGTACACTTATGGAATACGTTGGCAACCTTAAATTTTATTTTAAATCAATTATGTAAAATTCAAAAACAACGCTCCGTGAAAATATCAATATACTATGATTGGGGCAGGTGCCACAAACGGCAAGGTTTTAAAGAATGCAAAAAGTATCAGAAAAAGCAGGTAGGTTAAAAAATAATTGTTATTAAATACATTTATGAGATTTATTCGTTTTTCTTTCAAACCCGCCATAATCTTGATCGAACCATTCGTAAATTAACCGCATCTGCCTAAACACAGTTTGTATTTCCTCGATCAGTAATTGAATACCGTGTCCGTGTTTCGAGGGATATTATTTCCACAAAAATGTTCAAGTTATACACCTAGCTCTAAAGTACTTTCCAATAGTAATAATTACCTACTAGAACATGTATGTTGTGTACTATATTTTGATCTCGATAACTGCGTGTGCTCAATATAATGTATAAATGTATTTATCGAACTATATAAAATGCTATAAATGTGGTGGTAGAAGGGGGTGGGGTAAGCGACCCGGCGAAATCGAAAAGTGAAAATAAACGAATTGGCAAAAACGTATAGAATCGCGTTCGTGCGTAGGATGTGATGTAATATTATGATGTCGACCCACCGCAATGCGCATTTGGTGCGGTGTAAACACGAGGACGATTTCGCGGCAGCGTGATATCTATATGTATACGTATTTGCTTTTAGAAAGGCAAGTATCGAACGCCTAAAACAGGACAGGTTCCTGTTCGTTTACTTTTATTATACAGTTCGGACAGTATAATAATACTCTGGAAGATTTACGACGTACATGTATGTGCGTGTATTATGTGCGTATACAGAGCGAACCACCACGTTCGGCCGATTTTTCGCGTGTTCTGCGACGTGTAAAAACGTTGGTTTGCCCTGTATAAACTTACGGAAACGTGCGCGAGCGCGTACGGTACATTATACTTGTACGCATAGAAAGCGAGTGCGCGCGCGTGTATAACACAACGCGACATGTGCGACAATAATAACGTAACAGCGCGCAAAGGACGTCGTATTGTTTGGCACGTCGTTCATTGTTAATTTGTCCGCAATAAAAACGCACTTTCTCTCCGCCACCCGCCGCGGTCCGGAAAACAAAAGCCGGTTACAAATTTCCTGTTCGCGTGCACCGGGGGCGAAAGTGAAACGATTTGTCCCTTTTCGCCCGGTCGTTTGTCAGATTTCCGAGCGAAAAATCGCCGACCACGACTACGGCGGCGAACCACGTCTCTACGTCACCTGTAGCGCGCGCGGGTGTCCGTCCGGCACGGCTGCGGGCTGGGGAGAGGGACGGTCGCACTCCGCAATGACACGGTACTCTTGTCCGGGATCGCGCACGCGATGGTATGTAGTGAAAACGTATATGGGCGGACAATACAGGGGACGAAAGAGACAGACAGAGAAAGAGAAAGAGAGAGAGAGAGTGCTGAAATTCACAGTCTTGATGCTTAACATAGTATACCTAAATAATACATACCTGCACAGTCGTACATCACCACCAAGGCATGTCAGGTGCTAATAAGCCCGTTGCGACCACTGCGCGCGCATTGTGCCTATTAAGGACGAGGATAAAGACGGCTGTGCGTAGAAGACGCACCTGCGACCGTTGCAGTTGTACTACTGTACATGCGTATAAATAATAATGATCGCATGTGCGCAAACGATTGTCCGATTTAATGATGTTGCGCGGTTTGCGTTTTTACGCTTCGCGCGCTCGTACAACATAATACTTGTTTGATTTTCAGTTCGGAGCTACAATGCTGTACATAGATACAGCATTGTTAAACCAGTCTCTCCTGCAGGATGACTAGGTGATCGACGCTACAATATTATTTATTTATTCATTTCGAAAACGTTGACAACACTACTGGCCTAGAGAACCTGTGCGACGACGATATATTCACATTTACAATGTTATTAGGCACTGACATTTCTTTTTTCCTCGCGAATAGAGTACGTTTCTCGCAACGAAAACCTGTCGTGATAATGTGCGATCGCTCCGGACGCCACGTTTCAAAAGGTTTAGCCAGAAATTTTTTCATCAAAACAATGTTTATTTTATTGTTACAAACATAAACAGAATTAACATATTGTAACGATCATCATTGAAGATTTCACTGTGACAGTGAAACATTATGTGCTAAGAGATTGTCGTTTTGCATTTTATCCCGCTAAAAAGTGGTTATAAAAATAGAACGTGATTAATCCAAAACGTTAAAATGTATTTTCCTAATCTAAATGTTTCAAGTTTATTCACGTGTATTCAGAATAAACAAAGTAGAGAAAATACAACGATTACCCAAATCATTTTTATTTAACTTTGTGTTGCCTCAAATATAAAAACGTTTATTCGATATGATTTTAAATTTTAAATATTGTATATTTTTTTTTAATGATTTTTCTAATGCATGTACAAGAAAATCAAGTGAAATTATCACTTACTTAGCATTTCTGATACGAGTAGGTTGACTAAAGGCATGCTACACTATCTTGAAGGTTTCTAGGTACATTCGTATCGGAATGTCATCAGTGTTTCGTCGCCTAGGATTGAAGTATAGTCGATCTTGAAAACGTAAATGGGACTGTTGTCTGACGATGGTCGCATGGTTTTTATAGATAGGGTTTGACGATAATACGTGTTTTTGCGTAGACGTGTGTATTATGGAGATTATCATGTAAAAGCCGATTTTTTTTTTGTTGTTCTAGACCAGAAAGTCACAAATGAAATCGGTAAGACAAAAATAAAACACCATATAAAATGAAAAGTAAATATAATTTAAAAGGCTATATAAATCGAATAGATAAAAATGAGCTTGAACAATAAACCTATTAATTTTTCAACATTACTAAAGAGATCTGAATAACATTTTTATAGGCTATAACAAATTATACATCTATCTACCAAATAGTTTTCTCATAAATATATATATATATATATAATTCGTGTTAAATTTCTAACAAGGAAACGTTTACTTTTAACGGATACGAGCGCACAACTGAATTTATTGATTATTGTCTACATAGGTTGTGTTCAAGGGTAAAAGCAGTACGTAAATAAAAAAGTTACGATAGTACACGTAATCCTAAATCTAAGAAAAACTTTTTATTTTCAAGAGGGAGCGTATAGCCCTAGGGTATAAATTAGATAAAGGTACCTCTATGCAATCCTATTAATATTTAAAATGTATATTTATGTATATTGTTTGCAGTAGGAACGACCTCAGCTGTGAAGTGTACACTTACGTACGGTTTTCCGTAGTTTTTCCGCGTAATTTAAAAAATCTTTTACGTAACCCGAGTGCTTTGGCTCGGAAAATGCGTGGTAAAACTTAACATTTTCGCACCGTCGAGTTATCACGTTACATGCACGGAGTTTAAGATGCGTTCGGTCCTTGCCGCGGCAAACGCGTCTGCGTTGGTGGTGCGGAACGATTTTGGTACGGTTGTCGACAGCAGAACCGTACCAAGATATTTTTTATCTTAAAGCAGAACTGAAACAATGCGCCCCCTAGATTATAGAGTTGTCACTCTCACAGCTATTCGGAAAAAACTGAAAAAATTACGATCGGGTTTCTAGCAAAACAAGAAATATAATTTCTTTATACAAATAAATAATTTAATATTTTTGCGCCCCCCAGCTTCAGGCGCCCGAGTCAAATGCCTCGCTCGCTGCACCGTAGTTACGGCTCTGGTCGGCGAGCCGAGAAAAAAACCGATCCGACGTGCACCGTGATTCCGTGTCCAACAACAACGATGCGAACGAACGGATTAACGTCGAACCGCGGTCGGGTTGGAGGCGAAGAAACGGCGCCAGGACGACGGTGTTACGCGTACGAGTGCCGTTGCAGTAGGCAAGTATCGCGCGGGCCGCGGAATCCGTTGTGAAAACCACGCGGACCGTGCGTAATGCCCGACCGGTGCACAAAAACAATCGGTGCCGAATCGCCGGCCCCCGAGGGACACAATGCGGAGAGAAAAACAACCGCGTCGGGGCAACGGATCAGTCGGACGACGATAATAATAATTGCGTATTGGTACAATGAGTCCGGCGAGGCGAGCGCATTACGTAAACATACCACCCATGGGCGGAAACTTTACATTTGTTTTTTCCGTTCTCTCTTGCGTTCCCGATCGCCGTCCAAAGGTATAACAACAGCGGTTTCGACTACGGTTTTTGTTTTTTTTTTTTTTTTGATTTCTTTCTCCGTCCGCTCGACGGGTACTACTAATTATTCCCAACGCACCGTGCGAACCCACTCGTGTCCGCGCGCGCCAGACGCGTTTTAGACACACTCGGACACGTTACGCGCATTACGCACGTCCGGGTGAGTTACGTGTACGCGCGCGCCGACGTACGTTTTCGATTAGCGGTTTTCGGTGCGACGCTTACTGCACAATAATTGATGTACATAATGCGACTTAAGTCTTCTGGAAAATCGACGAGCTATTGATTCGCGTGTGAAACGGTCAGACCACGTTTACGGTGTTTTTTGTTTTTCTCGTTTCCACCGATCACCTGCGCGCGTCGTACCGCCGCCGACTTTCGCGGTAGTCCAAATGAGATACGTTCGATTTCGATTTCGTATTGCGTAATCCAACACATAAACGTATTATTATTGTTCGGTACATTATTTCGACCCGTTCCGACTGCGGACCGCGTACGTACAGTCATTGCCAGATAAATTATCCGCGATAACGGAAAACCAGTGGTTC